TTAACAATTATGATTAGAATTATCACATTCATCAATTTTAAGAAATTTCAAAAATTATTTTTAAGGACATGTTCGATAGAGATTAAAATTGAAAAATTAGTCGTTATTGTTGACTTTTATTAGACGAGTGAAACCTAATAACGGCTATATTTTCAATTTTAATTGAATTTTAAGTTTAGTCAAACATGCTCTAGATCACGAAGATAGTAAGTCGTTTTCAAATATTCTATAGAAATTTATATACGAAACAGAGATAGTTATTTATTACGCAAAGTCATTAAAATTATTTTATGTTCTTTTCATTCCATTTTTCATCCATAAAGTTTCCTTTAGTATGAACTTTATTTTTAGTTTAAGTTTTGCCTTCACTTACATTTTTTTCTTATGGACTTTGGGTTTCCACCAAAAGAAGAAGAAGAAGAAATCTGAACAAAATGGTAAATATGGTTTCTAATATCTCGAATTAGCAAAAAATGACTCACGAAAAAAGAACCCAATATTTGTTTAATCAAAGTTCGACCAAAATGGCCTATGTCGCCGTTTGAGCATCTCCTTAAGGATATGGCTCGAGCACTAGTAAATTGAGTACATGGTGCCTCGATCGGGTTCACTCAAATCATTTACTCTTTACAAAAAACGTTTAGGGTCCTTTTGATAGACAAATGTGGAAATAAATTACAATTTCATGTTAGTTGGATAATAAAAACTTACCAAATCCATAGGAATTCGTTTTCCATGAAAACAAAGAAAATGTAGCTTAAAATGATTGTACTTTGGAATTTGGTTTCATTTCCACATTGTAATCAAACGGTCAAAGTGAAATTCATTTTTTTCGGATATGATATGTTTCATGAAATTCGTTGCAATCAAACAGGGTCTTAATCTAACGACTCAAAATGAACATCTAAAACCTGATTGAACGACCTGTCCACCTTTATAAACCTAACCTTATCAAATAAAATGCTATGGCAAATACGTGTCCACCGTTAATTGCGAAATTTTTTCATAAAACACCGACAAATACATTTGGTGGCAGAATCTACCGAAACGGAATACCTGACAACGATGTTCAATCAAACAAGCCCTACGTTGTTCCATTCAGACAATTTCCACGTGTCACTCCTCAAAACCTCCGCCAATCATCGTCCGCCACATCTAAAAATATCGCCACCCCATTTCCGCAGGTGGCCCCCAATTTCACTTTCCCCATTTGCATATGCATACGCCTCTTAAACACACTTCGCATGGCCTCTTCGTCTCGCGTATTCTCCGCTTGCTTACGCACGCTGTCCAGTTTACCTTTCCGACGATCGTTGCCGGGAATTCCGTTGAGTTCAAGATTTTTCAGTGGTAAATCGGGTTTTGGATCGCTGAGATTGAATACGAATTTCAGGAAATTTGAGTGCAGAACAAGAGCGTCAATGGCTGAGATTATAACTCCGAAAAGCAAAGGGAAAGTACAAGTGTTTGATGCAGATGAGGAACTGGTGGTGTCACTTGCGAAATACACAGCCGATCTAGCGAATAAATTCTCCAAAGAGAAAGATTCCTTTACTGTGGTTTTGTCCGGTGGTTCTCTTATTAAATCTCTCAGGTAATTAAGCTTATCTAATTTTCATTTTAAGAAGAGATTATTTAGTGTTAAATTTTCACTTGTATTGTAAATTGAAGGAAATTGGTGGAGCCACCGTTTATTGATTCAGTGGATTGGTCGAAATGGCATGTATTCTGGGTGGATGAGAGAGTGGTTCCTAAGGATCATCCTGATAGCAATTACTTTCTTGCTTACAATGATTTTCTATCCAAGGTACTTTCAATTCTAATTTTCATATATAAATGACAGTGAGACTTGCATTATGGCGCTCGTCTTGTACCTTCTTAGCAATGACAAAAAAATTCGACAAATCTGATATCCGTAACCCCGCCCGAACGGGACGGGGATTACCTGCTTAATTGGGTAGGGACGGTACGGGTACTCGCCCATTTAATTTTTTTATTTTTTATTTTATTTTTTTAGATTTCAATATTTTATATGGAAAATTCCACGAAATTTCATTAGTTCTCGTAGATAATGGCAACTAAGATTATCTAAAATATATGACAAATAATAAGTCTTTGTTTACCAAATATATTTGAATAATTTAACTTTTAAAAATATAAATTATCAAAAACTTAAAAAAAAATAAATGGGGTAGTAAACGGGGCAAGGGACTCGACCCGCCTTAAACGGGGTAGTAACGGGGCGGGAAATTGCCTGGGGCGGGCCCACACCGTTGCCATCCCTACTTTTTAGCTTTTAAGACGAGGTGGTTCAACAAATCTTGTCAATCTTGGGATGTGTTTTGTTGTGTAAAATCCAATTTGTTATGATCTTATTGAAAGGAGTCTTTAATATGGTTTGTATTGTTTGATTTGAAAGGAACTAGGATCTTGATTGGATTTTGACAAAAATAATCTGAATAATTCTGAGAAGAAAACTAGGTTATTAGCTACTTTAAGCGCGGCCAAAAACATGTTAATGCAGTGCTCGAGTTCCATATAAAGAAGCACAGAGTTGGTTGTTTATAATAAATTCACCTACTGATATTGGTGAAAAAGAATCAGTTAACTGATATCTGCTGACCTCTTATTTGAAGTATGAATTTTTTTATGATTTAAATGATAATTAGAAAGTAGCATCCTGCATCCCCTCGTAGCAAAGGAGATAATTGCTCGAACTAAGTTAAACTCTAGAAATTGAATGGAACAACACATACTACTCTTAACGCTGAACTATAATGTTGTGCTTGGTGAGGAGAGCTGGAAAACACTAAACATGATGTTTAGCCTGGCTTTAAAGTCAAAAAACAGCTTCTTTTGGGCATATTAAGCCGTATGACGAAAGAAAGAAAGAAAGAAAAAAGTTACAAACCAGTACTTCCTACCAAACATGCTATGAGGCATTATTTGTCTCCGTGTCTGGTGGTGGTGGTTGGGGAGGGGGTACTTGAGGGGTATGGATGACTGCTTGTGTTGGCCTGAGATGGAATGAAAATTGTGAAAGAAATAGTAAAAATTGATGGAATAAACTAAATTTTCCAAATAATAAAAAGTTGTTGCTTTACTTATATCGCAAATAATATTTAGTTATATTCTCAATGTCAGGTTTAGTCTCATTTTCTAGGTTTTGAGTCGCTGATATTGCTTGCTTCATTTTTGTTGCCCTTCTTTAATGAAGTAGGGTTATGAATGACATGCCCATGAGAGGGGAAGAACGCGATTTCTCTGATATTATAAGATTCAAAATAATTTCATGATTTTTTATTTTAAAATTCTTCCTTATTAGAAAGATGTTTATGACAGGACATAGGGTAAACCTAAACTGGATTTCCCCCGATCCACTTGTTCAGAATTATACTGGATTATGTAAATTAAGTGATTTCCTTTTTCTTTTCCATTGCAGATACCGATCCCTTCAGGTAATGTGTATGCCATAAATGATGCATTGGCAGCCGAGGCCGCAGCAGAGGATTACGAAACCTGCCTCAAACATTTGGTGAAAAGCAAGATCATTGATCAATCTGAGATCACCGGATTTCCTAAATTTGATCTTATGCTATTGGGCATGGGTCCAGACGGGCATGTAGCTTCTCTATTCCCAAGCCATCCTCTCGTCCATGAAAACACGAAATGGGTTACCTGTATAAAGGATTCACCAAAACCCCCTCTCGAGAGAATATCCTTCACATTACCAGTGATCAACGCATCTGCATATATTGCACTTGTGGTAGCCGGAGCAAGTAAAGCCAACGCCGTTCATGCTGCACTGGGTCATGGTCCGAGTTCTGATACCTTGCCCGTGCAAATGGTCTCGCCAGATGGAGAGGTGACATGGTTTTTAGACAAGGGAGCAGCTTCCAAACTGTAGGACTACATATACTAATAGTTCTGTGAAGTGATTCTGTAATTTACACGTGTGTGTTTTTTTTCCCTTTCTTATTACTAATGTTTTGCTTTAGAAAACAAAGAATTTGTACCGCTTTGACTACATTATCAGTATGTAATGAAGTTTCATGTTTTTCTCTGGTCGTGTAGTAAAATTCCAAGTAAATTCTAACAACGAATGTACTAAAATTCAAATCTGAAGATCTGAGTTACTGTGCTCTCNTCACATTACCATTGATCAACGCATCTGCATATATTGCACTTGTGGTAGCCGGAGCAAGTAAAGCCAACGCCGTTCACGCTGCACTGGGTCATGGTCCGAGTTCTGATACCTTGCCCGTGCAAATGGTCTCGCCAGATGGAGAGGTGACATGGTTTTTAGACAAGGGAGCAGCTTCCAAACTGTAGGACTACATATACTAATAGTTATGTGAAGTGATTCTGTAATTTACATGTGTGTGTGTTTTTTTCCCTTTCTTATTACTAATGTTTTGCTTTAGAAAACAAAGAATTTGTACCGCTTTGACTACATTATCAGTATGTAATGAAGTTTCATGTTTTTCTCTGGTCGTGTAGTAAAATTCCAAGTAAATTCTAACAACGAATGTACTAAAATTCAAATCTGAAGATCTGAGTTACTGTGCTCTCGCAAAATACTTAGCAGATTTTTCAGAAAGTAATAAAGAGAAGGGCTCTTTCTCGGCTGTTATATCCGGAGGTAGCCCAATTCATAAGAATTGCTATATACCATCCATTTTAGGCCCCCTTTTTGTGGTTTTTGTTCAAATAAAAATACATCAAATTATTCTGATTTAAATATCAGGATATTAGGGGAAGACCCCTACAAAAATGAGGTGGATTGGTCCAAATGGCTAATCTTTTGGGTAGATTAGAGGGAGGTTCTTCTTTAATGATCCCGAGAGCAATCAATGGGCGGTTTTCTTTCCAAAGTAGAATTCTACCCAACCTTGCACTGAAGTTTCACAGAGTTAAACTGGTTCTTGGACAAGGATGCTGCTTCAAAACTATAAACTTTGATGGTATAACATGTATAGTACGCAATATTGAACATTATTAAAAAATACGCACAGCTGTTAAATGCTCTCTAGTCGAGTCTATCATACATTTATTCTTGTTTTGTTGTCATTGGCTATTTTATAATTTGTATAACGAATGAGGGTCGTCAATCCGGGTCCATTCTTCAGAAGAAGTTCTAACATGACCTCCCAATATATTCCATGTTCCAGCACAAAATAATCATTAGAACAAAAATCGTGCAAAATTGAGAACAAATCACAAAATGCATTCCAGCTACAAAAATAGTCATGAAAAAAGCACAATCCATTGTGACATGCATGTTGCATTAGGCTCACAATGAATTAGAGCCGTACTAACAATAATGGACCACACCAGTTCATTCAGACATGAGCATGCTCAAGTTCTAATGAAAACAAAATCAGGGAAAGTTGATTCAATGACCTACATAAAATTAACAAAGGTAATAAAGTAAACTGTCATATGACAGAATTACTTCTCCTTGGTGTAGTGTCGGACCACAAAGGCCAATCCCAAGATCAAGAGGGGTACGAGAAACTGCAAAATCTTGATCAGAAACTCCGGAGTCTTGTCCGGATTGTACTGGGCTTGTTGTGGTGGAGTGTAAGTGCGTTTTGTAGGAACTGTTGACACGTCTATCTCACCGATGTAATACTTGTCCATCATCTCTCTGGCAGAATCACTATGACCCACATCTTCAAAGTCATTTGTTGCATCTTTTCCTGAAAATGTCCAACAAAATTCACAAATGAAACATGAATTTCAAGTCTCAACTATCACTAAATGTGCAAGACGAAACATAAAAGAAGATTATCCGAGCATTACCAGTGGCTGATAGCAAGACTTCATCACCTCCAGGATGATCATCCATGAAAGGGGTTACATCATAAACCTGATAAACCAATTTGCAAACTGAAACTCAGTCACATTCGCATTTTGTTTTTTCCCTTCAGTCAGAACTACCCATATCCACAAGAATAAACAGAAAAAAATACAGCCTTTTCATTTGATATCGCATTCGGCAAACTATCCCGTCATCCAAACTCAACCACAACCAAAATCCTTGGGAGGTCAAAAGTCTCAGAGGATAGCTTGTAAACAAGTGCAATCTCCTATTCTCTAGTTATAGAGACTGTTGCTTTGATGACCATCACTAGTTAAAAAATTGAGTAATCAATAATTCCTTGGAGCACAGGACTGCATTTCCTAGATGAGTATTGTAATTAAATTTTGTTAATTCAAACGGTATGTGAATGTAATAAAAAATTAACAAATGCTGGCAGATAGCAGTTAATTTCATCAGCGAAAATTGTGACTTTTCTGCTTATATAGTTATATTCAGACCCAGCCTGATAATTTTATAAATATAATATTTATTTATTTTCTTACAGTCCTTAAGTGAGAATATCGCAAGCACAATATCCTCTCTTTATTCATATTTTCTAGTGTCTCCGATTTCTCTAAACAAAATCAAATCATAAAAGGAAACCCCATAAATCAGAAACATAATGTATTGACGATGACAAAATAAGTACCAATGAACTTAATTACAGTGACATCATCAAAATTGACCAAACGTCAATCCATACGCTTCTCATAATTCAAAATATTAGAATTATCACGATATTTATTAAATTCAACACTGAGATTCCAACAAACCTAACTCCGCGTCACTGAATAATTACTGAAATAATTTCATTTACACGTCGATTTTTTTAAAAGAAAAAGATCAAATCAAAATTGAAACAAAATGAATTAAAAATTAATACAAGAAATACAAATTCAAATTAAAAGAGATCTGACCTTTCCATTGATAACAAGCCAGCAATCCTTAGTCTTGTTGTGCTTCGCAACCTCCTCGTATACGTAAATCTTCGGATCTGAAGCCATTTTCTCCTACTATTACAAAAATCAAAAAATTTGGAATTCTCCAACTGTCCAACCATATAATATAAATAAACAATACTCAAATCAGAAATATATTATATAGGATGACTACACATAAAAATCGAATCGGAAAAAAAAGAAGGAAAAAGGTATTCGATCAAAAGGCTTACAGGAGATCTTATATTTTTTCTCTCTTTTTTAGATTTCTTACGTGGACTGCCTTTAGAGTGTTTCTTCACTAATGCACGAGACATTTATATACCAATGGTTTAGGAAATGGGCTCCAAATTTGATGAAATTACAGTGTTGACCTTGGCATGGACCCATGCATGTTTATCAAACACGTTGGTGCCCATTAACCTGTTTATTTGAGCCCATTATTTTGAAACTCTTTTTTTTTTTTTCAAATTTATTTTCAATTACATATTTTCTCAATAAAATAATTTACACATCAACTTATTTTTTTTTTTCTAATTTTACTATTACAAAATTTATTTTTTCAAACATAATGGGGTTATTATTTTTTATTTTTTTTTTGGAAAATGAGTTTTGAAATGGTAATTTTTTAGAGAACGTGTGATTAAAAAATAATTAAAGTTTTAAATTTACGTACAAAATGTTTTATTGTGAGAGTTTGCGCTTGAAAATAAGTTTAAAAAAACAATTGGAAAATCATAGACAAACGGTTCAATTCAAAAAATGTGTGATTAAAAACTAATTAGATTTTTAGTAGATTTTAATGGAAGTTGGTGAAATTTATTGTTAAAAATTGATAAAGTTGTGAGTCTCGTAAACGTGTGATTGAAAATGAGTTTAAAAAAAATGAATTTTAAGGAATGGGAGCCAAACATGAACTAAAATATTTTATGAAATGTCCCGATGAAAGCAAAATTCGATCAAATTGCAAGCCACTATATCAAGCATTACATGAAGATTTATATACATATATATAAAGAACTTTTGTCACTTGCATTGACTCCTTTGTGAAAGCGCATTGTACTACTACATGCTAAGTGCATATAAAGAGGAATGTGCGGGTTAGATTCGGACCCAATCTGATAATCAAATCGACATTTAAAATTGGCGAAATGTCAACTCGAAATCGAAACGACAAGATGAATTCAACCTAAATCTAACAGAATAACCAACTGAGCAAAATGGAGAAAATTCGGTTGATACTACCACAAAGATCATTGCCCAACCACCGCTAGAGGGTACCTAGCAAAATGGAGAAAATTCGGTTGAGTTGTTTGGTATGATTTTTTGTGTTTGGTTCAAGAAATTTTTTTCCCTTGAAAATTAATTTTTCATTTTAAACCGATCCTTAAATCGATATTTTTGAGTTGACGTAAGCCTACTTGAAAACCGAACCACATCCCTCCAATCGATTTGAAGCAAATCAATTCGAGTTGGATTGCAATTTTTGATACAGTTATCAACAAATGTAGATTTATTATATATTAAAATAGCAATTAAAAATCTCAAAAAATATTGAAACGAAAAGAATGCATTTTAAATAGTGAATGGTTAAAAAGTAAAGAAAAGTTATTGATATAATAAAAAATATTATTTTATTAAAGAATGTGTGATTGAAAATGAGTTTTGAAATAATGTATTTTGAAAGAATGTGTGTTAAACAGGGCTAAAGCTTTCTGAATTTTAATATAATTTACTTTTTGTTAAATGTTTGTGATAATGGTAGATTAATCTCCATTAGTCAAATATAAGCATACTTTCTTAAACAAAATTAAGCCCATGTTTGGTAGGGATTAAAATCAAATTTTTAGTAAAATTTGATAAAAAATGATAAAATGTATAGTTGAAAAGTTGTGAGTCTCAAAAAATATATGGTTAAAATTAATTGTTGACTTTGACTTTAAATTTTAATTCAAACCGAACCGAGCCGAGCCTAAAAAACATTTCTCGAAAAGTCAACTCAAGTTACGTAGGTACCCATAAAACGGCTTTCCCAGCTTGACTTTGGACCATAGAAGAGGCCCCCGCCCACGGGAATACTATAGCTCATATGAAGTGGATTTGATGGTGGTGTATAGATTTCTAGAAGTTCGGATTTTGAGGGGTTTGATCCACATTCCTACGAAAATTCATTTTTTCAAAATTTATTTTCAATCACACAATCTGCAACAAAATAATATATACGTAAATTCAAAATTTTTCCTTATTTTTTAACCACATATTTTTCATCATGTCACTATTTAAATTGTATTTTTCCCTCAATAATATGCATCTAACATGGACTAATCTACTTTTGTCCACCATTATTTTAAACTTTTTTTAAAAAAAAATTCATGAGATTTCTCCAACAAAAAAAAAAAAATTGCTCCAACAGTGGGACCCTCTATCAATCAATGTCGAATTGTGTAAATTTCAAAAAAAAACTTTTAACTTGTGAAGGTACGGTGGGAGAAGAATTTTCCTTCTTCCCAAACTACCTTACAAATGGAGAAGGAAATGGAAATGTGCATTGTTAAAAGCGAGGGTATTTTGGTAAATAGTGGATGACAAATTTGGGTATCAAAGTCCAAATGATTTTCAACGGCTTATGTACCCATTGTAATTTGTAAATACTTTGACATTTGAACAAATAGAATAAAATGCAAATTCTCGTTTCAATGACCACTAAAAAAGAGCTTATCATTACGTGAGAATGTCGGGATTGTCTTCTATCCATGGTGGGCATGAGAACAATCTACTCACGACTGATATGGTGGTGTCACGTCAACAGTGTATTTGATTTTTCTTAAACTTTTTGTTTTCCCCTACACCTGTCCTACCATTATAATTTTTTACCCGCCCTCACACTCATCCCGCCTTTATCGCCTACCTTTTTTATATGAATATTTTTTCTTGTTTTGTTCATAATTTACATGGTCATTATGAAATGTCAAATGGAGTCGAACTATTGCATTCTTAATATCACTTAGAAGTGCTTACGATTTAATTTCTCGCATCGTTAGTGACGAGCGAAACGGCCAACTGTACCAAAAATGACGCTTCAAAATATGGCGTTCCAAACTAATATTTCAAGAATTTCAATAGCATACCAATTTAAACATTTGCTAACGATCATACGCTCACCGAATTCATAAATCCTCTATATTATCTTGAAACTCGTTTCGAGAACCTTATCGCAGACATATCGAATGTTCCCAACGAATATCGTTTGGATATCGAAAATAATTAAACGTGTGTCTTAAAAAGAGATGCATAACTCATTTTTTCTTTAAAATTTTTCAATTATTTCATTAATGTTTATTTATTTTGCCCGACAAGTTTCTTAACATAATTTACATCATTTTATTAAGATATTTTTACGTATGGTATGACTTCAAAAAAATTCGGATTGATTACATGATTATACCATGTTTGGCTGTGCTCAAAAGTCGGGTTTTTGGCAGACATACTGTCGACGAAGCCAAGCACTGCCAAATTATTTCAAAATAAACAATGCATTGAAGATTGTACAATGTGATTAAAGAATCTAGCATTTTGGAATTCTTGATTTGCCATTTTTTGTATTTTGTTAAAATGGCAAAGTTGTTGTTAGCATTCTTATTTATATCTAACTTATCTTACGTGGTTTAATTTCGAACAATTTCTTGTCTTGTCGGAGAATATAAATTGTTACTCCCTTTCGTTCTATCATCTTCCAAGGGAATATATCTCTTGCATTTGATAATTAGTTTAGATAAGAAGGGCGATTAGGTTTTTTATTCAGTTAGAGAACAGAAGTTTTTTGTGGACGTAGATATGGATAATTGTGTAGAACAGATGATGCAGTTTCTTTCGAAGGTTAAGTAGAAAAGAGGCTTTTGAGTTGAAAAGGACATCTCTCGAATCAATTGGTGGGCACACGAGAGAAAAAGTAGGGCACAAATGGTGGTGAGTTGACTTCACACATTGAAATGCTCGTGGCTTCAAAAATCTCAAAAGCTCGGCTTTGGTAGCATCTTCGTAGAGGAAGAGCGGTGGTTTCGACTTTCGATTGTTTATATACAAATTGCATCTTTATTATTAAGGTGGAACACCCACGGCTACAACCTAAGCTACCCAGGGTGGTTCGAATAGAATGCTCTCACTTATGAAACAGTTCATTTCTTTGGTGATCATCGGATTGTTGATTCTTGTTGTCCGAAATAGCTGTACGGAGAAAAATTTGTGAGAGCGGGTGGATGTTTGAATTGACACCTATTCCTAATGAAATCGAAGTCATATACTTATATCACTTTTCGACAATTTGTTATGGTAATGCAAGTCATTAGAACATCGTGTGTTACATACACTAAATGTAGAGAGATGTGACTTGAATGAACTAGCAAGTAGAAATAGGCTTAGTCGGAGAGAGTGTCAAAACGCATGGTGCATGTTTGGTAAGTAGATAAGTTTGTCTCATTATAATTACAATTTTTGTTGTAAAAGCTATAAATAAGTTGCTTACATTGGAAGTACTGTCAAAATGAGTAAAATGTATTTACTTATAAGTAAAAGAAAGTAATATGTCCACTTAGCCAAACGTGCTGATATTACAGAAGTTGCCTATTTAACTACTTTAAGTTTTCCGTTTAACACAGAATACATGCTTCTGATGGTAGAAAACGACGTGTTGAGAAAATTGAACAGACCATCGCCAAGAATTAGATCACTAGAAATGTGATAAATGTAGTTTATACACTTATTCGAGGTCCTAAATCATGATATTTTATTGTCTTTTGGATAAAATTCTACCTAATTTATGTTATATTGTATTTTGTAGGTAAAAATTACGTTTGATTAAAAATTGGAGAAAATAATGCAAAAGTGGCGACAAATGGCAAAATCCAAACATGAAACTTTTGAGAAAAATAATACATTAAATGTGTTAGAGTTAAATGAGATACAATGAATTTGCATTGAAAATTTTAATTGGAGGTCCAAATTAAAACTATATATATATATACAGAAATGATCTAATGAGTACCGGTGCTCATCTTATCTTAAGCACC